CCATCATCACTACATATAACATCATCCATGATCACTACATAAAACACCACCCATCATCACTACATATAACATCATCCAACATCACTACACATAATACCATCCATCATCAATACATATAACACCACCCATCATCACTACATATAACATCATCCAACATCACTACACATAATACCATCCATCATCAATACATATAACACCATCCATCATCACTACATATAACACCATCCGTCATCACTAAATATAACACCATCCGTCATCACTACATATAACATCATCCATGATCACTACATAAAACACCACCCATCATCACTACATATAACATCATCCAACATCACTACACATAATACCATCCATCATCAATACATATAACACCACCCATCATCACTACACATAATACCATCCATCATCAATACATATAACACTATCCATCATCACTACATATATTACCATCCATCATCACTACATATAACACCATCCGTCATCACTAAATATAACACCATCCGTCATCACTACATATAACATCATCCATGATCACTACATAAAACACCACCCATCATCACTACATATAACATCATCCAACATCACAACACATAATACCATCCATCATCACTACATATAACACCATCCATCATCACTACATATAACACCATCCATCATCACTACATATAACACCATCCATCATCACTACAGTTCGGTAAAGTAGTTTCCGAGATTCTCGTGCGGACACACAAACAAATAAAGAAACAAACAGACAGACTTCTTTGTTAAATATATATATATATAGATGAACCCCCTCTAATGTATGAACCCCCACCCCCCCACTCTAATGTGAACCCCCCCACCCCGCCTCTAATGTATGAACCCCCACCCCCACTCTAATACATGGCCCCACCTCCCACCTCCCCCACAATCATTATGACTAGTGGTACTCAGAGAGTCAACAAGACTTACGCTAAGTCAGGGTTGTGCAGTGTTTTTTATGGTAATTCTGACTGACTGACCCGAGACAAAAGTAGACTGCGACTAACACTTGATGAGAGAGAGAGAGAGAGAGAGAGAGAGAGAGAGACCATAGTTGTCTTTCCTGTTCTTACTTCCTGATTGACCTTACATGACGCATTTCACTGACCCTCCCATTACATGACCTTACTGACCCCCATTACCATATTACACCCATACTACCTTACTATTATATTCCTCCCATACTCCTGTACTACCATATTATTCTCACGCCCCCATATTACTATCACATTCCTCCCTCACTACCATACTCTCACTACCATATTTCTCCCTCACTACCATACTCCTTCACTACCATATTTCTCCCTCACTACCATACTCCTTCACTACCATATTTCTCCCTCACTACCATATTCCTGCCATACTCCCATAATACCCCCAACAAGGTGTAGTGTTGCTGGACTATAAAAAAAAACTGGATCACAAGTTTCAGCACAACACAAATGGTTCACGTTCAATTTTCTCACTCCCTAAATTGTATTTGCATATAGATTGATAACCGTACGAGGCAAGCCAGCAGTTGTGGTATTAGACGTGTGTGTGTGTGTGTGTGTGTGTGTGTGTGTGTGTGTGTGTGTGTGTGTGTGTGTTATACTAAACATGCATGGTGGTGATGTTATGGTACAAGCCATGCATTGTAGTGGTGATGTACCAGTCAAGATGTACCACCACCACCACCACCACCACCAGTTATAACGTTAATACAGTAGCAACAATAATTAATTTATCGGTGTAGTATTAAAATGGATTAATATGAACCATAGCCTGGATGTGGCTCCTCCTACAGATAAAGGAGGAATTAATAGACGTGAACGGGTGAGAATTTGTGGGCTGGAGGTGTTCAGTGGTCCATGGGGTGACAGTAACATAAAGAGAGTCAGAAGAGAGAGAGAGAGAGAGAGAGTCGTGATGGTGTCATTCGGTACCTGCACTGCAACATTAGCACCACAACACGGAACAATATCACACACACACACACACACACACACACATACATGAAAGCAACACTCACACACCAGCCTCTACCGATGGGTGTACTGTGTGGCGACCTGATTAGATGTGGAAATTTGAACAGTGTGAGGAGCTGATTGGATATGAGTATTTGTAATGAGAAAGTCTGGTTGGCTGTGAAATAACTCAGTTTCCTGGACGTGTGTGTGTGTGTGTGTGTGTGTGTGTAGAGTATACCCCCCCCCCCCATGATAGGGAAAAAGAAGAAATAGCTACAACCCAATATTCTAAATTAAGTTAACCACCAGACATACAGAGACGTAACTTTAATTCTTGGTCACACAGGAGATGAAAAATAAGTGTCTTTGTCTCACTCCCAGATCGAGGTGGAATCCAATCAGAGTACAGTAGAGTTGAAACATTGTTGCTGTTTTCATGAGCAAATTTGCGTATGAACTAAAACCTTACAGTAAAATAATTTTGTGTTTGCGTATGAATGCTAGATATGCAAGACGCACATTTGGCAACGTTGGTGTGATCTGGCATTCTGTAGACTGCCTACAAGGTTACGTGTAATGTGACGTGAATGACTGGTGATTGCACCAGTCGCCCTTTGTGATCCAACGGTCCAGGCCCTAACTTTAACCTACGCTTTCCACCATTTTCTTGCGGCTTGTGCTGAGTTCTCGTTCATCACAGTGATTTAATTTATTGATAACAGTGTTGTGATAGTTTTGAACCATGCCTCATGTTGCTGGCAAAGGTGGAGGGATGGGTAAACATAAAAAGAACAAGGAGATTGCACCACGTGGTGATAGTGCGGTGCCTCCTGAAGCCTCTCCCAGTGTCCCTGACCCGTCTAGTGCAAGCGATAGTTTGTCTGGCCCTTCAACAAGCAGTCCTAGTGTGAAAGGAACTGCCCGGCATGTTGTTGTGACTTAGAGGAAAAATAAAAGACGTGTTGCTCATCTCCCTAACAAGTGCACACTGCCTGTACTCCCACCAAAACTAGATTTAGTCGCTTTGTTCAGGGTAAGTATGGTACTGTGGGGCACAGAGGGAGGGGGGCATCACCAAGTGCACCAACATCTAACAACATATAGGTACAGACATTCATATATTTTCGTAAAAAAAATATATTTTTTTAATTCTGGATTTATGCATTACATTTAACCAATAATTTACAATAATTATTTCATATGAATTTCGAAAATAATAAGCATTTATAAACATATGTATAATTTATGTAAAAAATATAAACCTTGAGCGAGGAATATTCACATTTGGGAGCTTGAGTGTCAGCCATGCACTACAATTTGTGTTATATTCACGCTTACGTATAGATTTGATCATTTCATTGTGATTACCTATATAAAACTATTTATAGATAATGTATTTACGTACAAAGATAATGAAACAAATCCGACATTTTTCTCTCAAATAGCAAGCTTTCTGTGATTCATTAGGTCCATTTATCTCTCGTGTGGTGAATTCAAGTGCGGTGAGGCGAGTGAGTGGCCGGGCCCCGAGCGTCTTCCTAGAGAGCACCTCCTTAAATCCAAGAGTGTTAAGAGTATTGGTGTTCTGGTCTGTTAGTGAGTAACTGGGAGGAAACAGACTGATGTTGGTATTGTATAGGGGAGGGAGGGAGGGAGTCACAGGCAGCTGAGTGAATTGGAGGTTCGTTTAGGTTGAGAGGAGAGGAGGTTGATGAAGAGCAGGACCCAGGCGGAGGATGAGATGAAAGGAAGATTAAGGCAACACCAAAGGTTAGCTAAAAGGTACAGGGGTTACCAGGGCGTACATCATCATTACACTGAGTACGACAAGAAAAACTTATTTATCTAAGGCTATCAAGTTAGGGTTAAAAAAACATGCAGCTAGGCTAGGAAGGTTAATGCCCAGACGTCACTATAACCTGTGTTGAGGGTCCCCTACACGAACGGCTCTTGTTGATATCCTGGTATCCTACATGACATCCTTCATAACCTTAAAGTATTGATTTAGATATAGAGATAGTTGGAAAACCTGACTTGAGAGAGAGTAGGTCAAGTAGGGGAGCTTCGAGCAGTCACCCTCAGCTGGAGTGTGATGTCACCCTCAAGATGGGGGTTATGTGTCAGATAATATATTGTTAAGGTCACAAGGTAAGGTTGGGTGTATCACCTTCATTATACGGTTGTTGATGTGGGTAAGAGAGCTTATTATGGGTTGGTTGTTGGAGGTTGGTCGTGGTGGTTGGTGGTGATAGTTGGTAGAGGTGGTAGTTGGTGGCGGTAGTTGGTAGTAGTGGTGGTAGTTGGTAGTGGTATTTAGTAGTGGAGGTGGTTGGTTGTGGTGGTGATTGGTAGTGGTGGTAGAGGCACTGGGAGGAGGAGGAGGAGGAGCTGGTGAGACAGGAAGCCTTGTACCTGAAGGAGAGAATGGGAACTACCTCGAGATGACATTTTGTGAAGGTTTAGCAACGTGACCTCTATATAACAACACTGTGTCAACAACTGTACCATACGACTGTCATCTCCTCCACACTGTACCAGAGAGAGTATATGATAATGTAATCATCTTGTTCACCTCAGAGACAACACTTTGATCATAGGTTACATTGTACTGCAGGTCATTTAGGAATTTAGCTGAGAGAGGAGAGTTCTATTAACTAACAGTGAATAATAAATAATCCTTCAATCATTAATATAAATTCCACTATATTTCATCTATCAATAAATTCTCCACAAAAAAAAAAAAAACAGGACAAATTTTAGTTGAGAATTTTTCATTAATTAAGGTTTGGAATCAGTAAACAGAAAAAAAAATAATACAACCGTGAAACTGTTGATCATTTTTCCTGTTATGTCAAAAATTTTTACGGAGTTGATGAATGGAACAGAATTTTTACCGTTTTCTTTTGTCTGCTATAATTTGGTCTTTAAGGTGAAATACTCAATAAGACGCAGCTTCAGATGTCTCAATTAAGAAGACTCATATTGTAGTTGATTCTCAGATTACCTAATTAAGTCATAAACATGAAGGGGTCAAACCGTGTCTAGACCAGGGTGCACGGAGGGTCGACCAGGGTGTGAGGCAGGTCGACCAGAGGTGTGCAGTGGGTCGACCAGGGGTGTGCAGTGGGTCGACCAGGGTGCACGGAGGGTCGACCAGGGTGTGAGGCAGGTCGACCAGGGTGAGGCAGGTCGACCAGGGTGCACGGAGGGTCGACCAGGGTGTGAGGGCAGGTCGACCAGGGTGTGAGGCAGGTCGACCAGGGTGTGAGCAGGTCGACCAGGGTGTGAGGCAGGTCGACCAGGGTGTGCGGTGGGTCGACCAGGGTGTGCGGTGGGTCGACCAGGGTTGCTGGAGGTCGACCAGGGTGTGAGGCAGGTCGGTGTGCAGATGGGTCGACCAGGGTGTGCGGCGGGTCGACCAGAGTTCTGGAGGGTCGACCAGGGTGCACGGAGGGTGACCAGGGTTGCTGTGGGTCGACCAGGGTGCACGGAGGTCGACCAGGGTGTGAGGCAGGTCGACAGGGGTGGGTCGACCAGGGTGTGGTGGGTCGACCAGGGTGTGCGGTGGGTCGACCAGGGTGTGCAGTGGGTCGACCAGGGTGTGCGGTGGGTCGACCAGGGTGTGATGGGTCGACCAGGGTGTGGGCTGACCAGGGTGTGCGGTGGGTCGACCAGGGTGTGCGGTGGGTCGACCAGGGGTGTGAGCAGGTCGACCAGGGTGTGCGGTGGGTCGACCAGGGTGTGCAGTGGGTCGACCAGGGGTGTGTGGTGGGTCGACCAGGGTGCTGGAGGTCGACCAGGGTGTGCGGTGGGTCGACCAGGGTGTGTGATGGGTCGACCAGGGTGTGTGCGGTGGGTCGACCAGGGTGTGCGATGGGTCGACCAGGGTGTGCGGTGGGTCGACGGAGAGGTCTTCAGTGTGCGGTGGGTCGACCAGGGGTTACGGAGGTCGACCAGGGTGTGCAGTGGGTCGACCAGAAGGTGCTGGAGGTCGACGCAAGTGTGCGGTGGGTCGACCAGAAGGGTGTCTGATTGGGTCGACCAGGGTGCACGGAGGGTCGACCAGGGTGTCAGTGGGTCGACCAGGTTTGGAGGTCGACCAGGGTGCACGGAGGGTCGACCAGAGGTGTGCGGTGGGTCGACCAGGGTGTGCAGTGGGTCGACCAGGGTGCACTGAGGGTCGACCATGGTGTGCGGCAGGTCGACCAGGGGTGTGCAGTGGGTCGACCAGGGTGCCGGGTCGACCAGGGTGTGCAGTGGGTCGACCAGACCTGGAGGTCGACCAGGGTGCACGGAGGGTCGACCAGGGTGTGCAGTGGGTCGACCAGGGTGTGCGGTGGGTCGACCAGGGTGTCAGATGGGTCGACCAGGGTGCGGAGGTCGACCAGAGGGTGCGAGTGGGTCGACCAGGGTGCACGGAGGTCGACCAGGGTGCTGTGGGTCGACCAGGGTGTGCGGTGGGTCGACCACGGTGTCGATGGGTCGACCAGGGTGTGCGGTGGGTGGATCAGGGTGTGCGATTGGGTCGACCAGGGTGTGCGGTGGGTCGACCAGGGTGTGCAGTGGGTCGACCAGGGTGTGCGGTGGGTCGACCAGAGTTGTGCGGTGGGTCGACCAGGGTGTGCGGTGGGTGGATCAGGGTGTGCGGTGGGTCGACCAGGGTGTGCGGTGGGTCGACCAGGGTGTCTGATGGGTCGACCAGGGTGTGCGGTGGGTCGACCACGGTGTGCGGTGGAGTCGACCAGGGTGTGCTGTTGGTGGATCAGGGGTGTGCGGTGGGTCGACCAGGGTGTGCAGTGGGTCGACCAGGTGTCGGTGGGTCGACCAGGGTGTGAGGCAGGTCGACCAGGGTGTGCTGTGGGTCGACCAGGGTGTATGGAGGGTCGACCAGGTGTGCGGTGGGTCGACAGGGTGTGCGGTGGGTCGACCAGGGTGTATGGAGGGTCGACCAGGGTTTGCGGTGGGTCGACCGGGGTGGGTCGACCAGGGTGTGCTGTGGGTCGACCAGGGTGTATGGAGGTCGACCAGGGTGTGCTGTGGGTCGACCAGGGTGTGCAGTGGGTCGACCAAGGTGTGTGGTGGGTCGACCAGGGTGTGCGGTGGGTCGACCAGGGTGTCTGATGGTCAACCAGGGTGTGCGGTGGGTCGACCAGGGTGTATGGAGGTCGACCAGGGGTGTGCGGTGGGTCGACCAGGGTGTGCGAGTGGGTCGACCAGGATGTGCGGTGGGTCGACCAGGGTGTGCGGTGGGTCGACCAGGGTGTGCGGTGGGTCGACCAGGGTGTGCGGTGGGTCGACCAGGGTTATGGAGGTCGACCAGGGTGTGCGGTGGGTCGACCAGGGTGTGCAGTGGGTCGACCAAGGTGTGTGGTGGGTCGACCAGGGTGTCTGATGGGTCGACCAGGGTGTGCGGTGGGTCAACCAGGGTGTGCGGTGGGTCGACCAGGGTGTATGGAGGTCGACCAGGGTGTGCGGTGGGTCGACCAGGGTGGTTATGCAGTGGGTCACCAGGGTGTGCAGTGGGTCGACCAGGGTGTGCGGTGGGTCGACCAGGGTGTCTGTGGGTCGACCAGGGTGTGCGGTGGGTCGACCAGGGTGCACAGAGGGTCGACCAGGGTTTTCTGTGGGTCGACCAGGATGCACAGAGGGTCGACCATGATACATTGACAGTATGCCAGGTGCCACTGCCAGGTCCACACACACACACACACACACACACTTGGTGATGCCTTTCCTTCCTTATAAGTGAAGTCAAGTGGCGACCTTAAGTTCCTCCTTGACGTTGGTGATGTAACTCCAACTTGTACCACGATTTAAAACCCTCCTCCCCCTCCTCCTCTTCCCCTCCTCCTCCCCCCTCCTCCTCCCCCCCTCCTCCTCCCTCCCCCTCCCATCTCCTCCTCCCCTCCCCTCCTCCTTCCACCATATCCTCAACTATGTCTGATCCGCCTGCCATTTGGTCGAGATCCTCAAAAAAAACTTCTTAACTTTGAATATTTGTCTCGTAACTGATGTCGACTTTAAATGATCGTCTGCTAGTTTATGTTTGAAGTCTGGGGCTAGATTTTGGGTTAACCAGATTTATGTGTGCGTGTGAGTTTTATACTAAGTGAGCAGGAGAGATGTGTTCTCATATCTCCATCTAGTGGGATATTTTAGTTAACGTGTAGAACTTTGGAGGAAAATCAGAGGTGTTGTTGTTAGAGAAGGTTTTGTAGATCAGTTTATCACCTAACTTGTTTTGGGGTGTGTGAGGATGAACTGTATCTCACTGAGCATCAAGTGTGTGTTTACAAGCAGACTAGGGCAGGGTAGACACACACACACACACACACACAGTATTTAATATTAATCACTTACTGTAGTGTATATTAACGCCAGCATTGACTTACATTCAGCACAATAAGCTAAACAACGTGATACAGTACAAGCCGTGATAACGTGTCACTCACTATCACCACCACCACCACATTTGACTGTAATGTTGCTCTCAGAGTTAGTGAACTTCAGCCATATTGTAATCGATCAGAAATAGACAGGTAATTGGCCTTGTTGTTGGTTAAGTTAGGATAGATTAGGTAAAGTTAAGCTCAATTAGGTTAAGTTATTTCAAGTTAGGTTAAGTTATTTCAAGTTAGGTTAAGTCAAGCTAAGTTGTGTTAATTCAAGTTAGGTAAGATTATGTCTGAGTTAGGTTATGTTAATTCGAGTCAGGTTTGATTAGGTCAAGTTAAGTGAGGTTAAGTTAATTCATGTTAAGTTAGATTAGTTGACGCTGAGTTAGGTTGCGTTAATGGAATTTAGGTTAGGTTAGGCTGGTCCAAGTTAAGTCAGGTCAGATCAGGTTAGTTAGGTAGAGTAGACGCCAGTAGCCTGAATACACTGGTAAGATGTGTGTAAACTTGAGGGACAACACATCAACTACACTGCGATTTCGTCTTGTTTATTTTCTGAAAACAGTGGCCAGAGCCCAACTGAAGAAGCAGCACCTGGGGACAGATACAAGACAGGTGGGGAGTCGTAAACAAGGTATTACTCCCAGTGGGTGAGTCTTTCTCCTGATACCCCGTGATAACTGGTGATACCTTCGACCTACTGGTGCAGGGTGGGGCTGGTGCTGTGCCGTGATGTTGGGGCTGTGAGGAGGGTAGGGAGGAGGAGGCTGTGAGAAGTAAAAGTGAAGGGAGGCAGGGAGGGAGGGAGGAAGGAGGACACTACACTCCCTTAAACAAAAATTCATATTAACGAGGTCTCCTACACCAAATGTCTCATGATATGGAAGTTTCATTATTAATAATATTATGATTATATAAACGCCCTTTATTAAAATTGTAAACAGTGATTTACAGCTTATATAAACAGTATTTGCAAGGAAAGGGAAAATAAAGGAAAGGTAGAAATTAAGTGGAATGTGAGTTGTGTCTGGCAGTTAGGGGAGAGAGAGAGAGTGGGAGAGGACTGTATGCACAGAAGCTGTCACTGTTTGGGCTTCTCTCAGATAAAGTCTGGTGCCTGTGTGGTAGTGTACCATTGGCCTAAAGAGAGGATCAACCACTAACCGTGTGCCATAAGTGTTGGCTGACTGTGAGAGCTCCTCCGCAGTCCTGAGGCGACATCCTTTCAAGCAGCAAGAGGAACTTATGTGGTGGGGTCGTCCAGGTCCTGTATAGTGTTTGGTCAACACTGTACAGTCGCCTGCACTATGGCTGGTGTGCTTTGTTGGACGTGGCTCCTCTGTAGGTCCTTACCTGGTGACCACCCACTGGAGGTGGCCATGCTGAGGAAGGAGACTAGTAGTGATGTGGGATCCTTAACATAAGAATGGGAGAAACGCAGCGGGCCTATTTGCCCATACTGGGCAGTCCGTTTACACAACCCCTATCGCTCATATATCCATCCAACCTATGTTTAAGCTACCCAGCGTGTTCGAGTTAATGATGATGTTTGGTAACTTGTTCCACTCGTCACTACTGTTTCCAAGCCAGTGTTTGCCTACCTCGCACCTAAATTTAAATTTGTCTAATTTAAAACCATTGCTACGAGTTTTGATAATTTTGTCAGGACTATTTTAAAGCCCACTACTGTTCTTGATTCCACAACTTGGGTTGGGTGTACATTATTATGTCCTCTCGTGTTGGTGGTGCGTGACTTCATATAGAAATGTCTCAGATTTGTCTAGCATCCTTAGTCTGGCAATTATTGCGAGGTTCTTTAGAATTTTAATACGATATAAACAAACACAGATATGGCACATCTTCCAAAACTCGCCAGCCACTGTACCAGGTATAAGTGCAGTGACCGCACATCTCGTGGGTTTAACGTGTTGGTTTCTTGTTAACACAGGTTAGTAAGTTATACTCCAGGCTTACTGTCCCTCACACAAGAGGGTGACGAGTAGAACACAAAGCAATATCCCTTGTTGATGTAACGCCTCCATCACGTGACTTTCAAGATCACGAGACTATTGTTTCAACTTAACTCTAAACAAGGACAACTGTTGGTGAATCTACCGTCTGAGGATAATCTCTGAGCGTTTAGGTGACAAGGCAACGTTCTGAAACACCTTCGTTTTCTGACGTTATTATAAAATATTATATTGCTATCAAATGGTTCTGTGGTGTTTTATACTATGATTTAAGTGTGTGTGTGTGTGTGTGTGTGTGTGTGTGTGTGTGTGTGTGTGTGTGTGTGTGTGTGTGTGTGTGTGTGTGTGTGTGTGTGTGTGTGTGTGTGTGTGTGTGTGTGATTCATTTATGATAAAGGTTTAAACCATCGTCTTCAGAAAGATAAATCCTCGTCTTCACACTGTTAACTCTTAAACAGGTGTAATATATACTAATTAAACCTAGTATAACCTATTCTCATTAAACCTTACTATAGATTAACCTCGTAATAAATAAACCTGATTAATTTTAACCTAACCTAATCTAACTCTAACAATCTAACCTAACCTAACCTAACCTAACCTAACCTAATCTAACTCCTAACCAATCTAACCTAACCTAACCTAACCTAACTCCTAACCAATCTAACCTAACCTAACCTAATCTAACTCCTAACCAATCTAACCTAACCTAACCTACCCAAACCTAACTCCCACCATTCCCAGGTAGTGTTAGGTGTTTAATCAGGTGAACTAAGCTGGGGTGGCTAATCTTCGGGTGATCCATAACTTGAAGCGTAAATAT